TACTCCAAGGAAGTCTTTGAACTTTCAAGGCATAGAACCTCAACACAATTGCTTGATCATTGTGTTGTTTGGTGAGATTTTGGTTATGACTCTGTCGATCTAAGCCTAACAAAAATTTTACTAACAGTTGCATACACATCTAAAGCATTATTTGATAAGCATCTTGAAAGCATTTCTCACACATTTGAAATTAGCAATGCTCAACGCATACTATTGCCTCTAAAAAATAATTTTAAAAAATATACTAATGAAGGCATTGCAGAAAATATAATGAACCAACCAAGACACATCCTCATGTTGGCTCCATTACGCCGAATCAAGATTGATTTGACAAAGATCATTGGTAGATGTAGAGGAAGATCCAATTTGTAATGTGACCATCGAATCGATAATGGTCTAAGCTTCACTCAAACTCTATAGTAGCAGCTCATTGTACTTGTCTCTAAAACATCTGAACCTGTATTCATCACCATAGATACTTGGATCGATGTCTAAGTCCTGAATGTCAAGATGACCTTCAAGCATGCTTACTACTGCAGACATGGCTGGCCCTAAGTGTCAAAGATGGATTAGTGCATAATAATGCTATCTTGATCCTTTTTATCGCCCCTTCCTTGTCGAAATCAGGACCCAACTTTGGATCCACCAACTCCATTAAACATCCTTTTTGTTGCAAAACAAGGTCTTGAAATAAGCACAAGAAAGATATTGATATGAAAAAAGCCATTCAAATAAGCACTGTCATGTCACCATAGTTATGTAATTACTTAGATTGCTACTTTTTGACAAATTTAATATAGAATTAAAAGGTAAAAGACACATGAGAAAAAGAAGAATATGCAACTCCACTCAACATCTTGTTTTCTCAAGAGCAGAAGTATAGAGTTAAGGAGTGGTGTGTCATATATATATGATATGACTGGAATAATGGAAGGATGGGGTGAAGACCTCCATGCTCTTGGAACATGAAACCGTGAACTTGAGAGGTACTCACCATTTAATATTGTTTCAATCTACAAAATTTCAGAAGTTGCACATTGCCATTTCAGTTGAACATTGAGAGCTAGGTTAACGAGTTCATAGGAGAGTAGTGAAGAATCTCCGCACACCCTTGAGGAGTAAGAGAGATAAATCATAGCACTACCCACTTAAAAACTCTCAAGTCTTTAACTACGGAAATCAACATTTGAGAGGTGCTCTAAGCCACCTCAATATCATTTGTAACTAAGTACAGGTGTCTTAGTGAGCTTCATAGACAGCTAGAGTTGAAATAGAAAATATGTTTCATATGGAATTCCTTTGTGAAGTGTACCACTGATTTGCCATTGCTCCGATGAGCAGTTGTGATGAAGCTCTGATTCTAGGAAGATTCAACAAAAGATAAGCCCTTATTCAAAAGAAGGTTGACTTGAGGACAAAGTTGCATGTGGGGTGGGCATCGGGATTCCTTGTGGTTGAGTATAAGAAAATTTTTGTGGTCTATAAGAGGTCAAGGTGAAAATGCTACCAAGGTACTGGCTGTTAAACTTTCATTGTATCAATCTTGTTGTATATTGATTATCTTGATTGGCAAAGGTGAAGGCCCCAATACTAGTTTGTGGAGAATGAAGTTTAGCGGAGAAGTTGGCTTCTTGGTTTTGCAGAATTTGATTTAAGGTGAAGATTTTTGTGAATTGTCTCAAATTCCAATTTAGTTATATTTCCTTTTGTGAATCATTCTTGTGTGTTGAGAACTCAATGTTTCTTGTGCAACAAGGAATTTGGTTTAAGACTACAAAAGGGTCTAGTGTTAGGAAATTGAGTGCGTCCAACGTTTTGATTTGTTGAAGGGATGAGGAGCACATTCTGGAGGGGCGAAATATAAGATTAATACGTATAAGGTTAATTTTCTACGTGTTCTTGGGTTTTTTCTAGGTACCATCTCAAATTTGGAGCGTTTTGGCATGTGGGACTTTTTCTCTCGTTGTGTTTCAAATTGGGTGTATAGTTTTCGGGAAAAACAATGTACACTATATAGTGGATGTTCTTAATTTTCTTCACCCATGGACATAGCCCTATTGTTGGATGCACTACAAGTGTTTGTTTTAATGGTTATTTTTTAAATTCTATCTTCTTGTGTCTTCTATTGATTACTACAAGCAGGTATCAACGCTTCAACTGGCACAATACCTACAAGTGAGTTCCTACTAGACGTAATTTGTGAGTTCCAAACTTCCAATCACATTCTTATTGGTGCAATTATAGAAGAGGGATCCTTTTTCAACATTGAAAGATGAATACAAAAGAATAAGGAACGATTTCCATGCATAAGAAATTAGGACATCTTGTCATCCTAAATGTAATTGCTTAGATGGTTTGCAAATATATGGCTCCTTCAAAGTTAGGGATATTTCCTTCCAACCTGTTGAAGCTTAGGTCCCTACCACAAAATAACAACACAATTTTCACAAAGCAAAGAACTTTAAGAGATTGATCATAAGAAGAATTACATGAAGCAAAGCACAAGAGGGTAAAGTGCATTTTGAGTCATAAAAAAATGATGAAAATGTCTGTGATATACACGATGATGTTACTTATGCACAAAAGTAATTTAGTCGTTTCATTTAAGCCATTAACGGTACAAGTAGTACACTTTAGTCCACAAATCATAGCAGGTTATGTGTTTATTTCCAAATGTCAGAGGGGTAAATTGCACATGAAGTAAACCACAGGGAGATAAAGTGACATTTAACCTTCCATATATTCATTTTTATTTTTACTAATTTTAAGCCTCTTTTACTCGAGTACTTCTCTATAGATTTGTAACTTAGTGTTAATTCCTTAGTTTCATCCATTACAATAATATCATTTGTGAACAACATATACCATGCGATACCATCCTGAACGTACTTAATTAATTCATCGATGAATAAGGCAAACAATTAAAGACTCAAAGTTATCCCTTGATGCAATCCTCAAAAGATAGAAAATTCATTAGTTTCTCTTGTGTGGGTGATCTAATTGTTGTCACAACTTTATCATGGATGTCTTTTAACACATCAATATACATTTTGGTTACCTTCTTTTTCTCCAACGCCCACCATCATATTATATCTCAAGGTACCCTATCGTAACTTTCTCTAAATTCATAAAAATATATGTAGAATGAAAAAAAATTCAAATATTAATTACAATATTAATATTCCATTGCTTTACATGAAATAGTTTCCTTCCAAAAGCAAGACATTTATGTTCTATGAATTTTAATTATTTTCAAGATGGAACCTTTTACAAATGCAACTAACCCACTCACTCTGTTTTGTAATATAACATCCACTTGTTCTACTCTTCTCGAGTCATGTATTTGTTAGTGAAGATTTTCTAAAAACTATATCAATATGATGTATCAAGATTAATGTTAGAAGGGTGAATTGCATTTTGTGACATTTTAGTTTTGTTTTAATTTGGTTGTTACACTTTCAATTACAACACATTAAACCAAAAATCTCAATTTCTGACAAATTGGTCCAACTGTTGCACACAATTAGGTACTTGGGTGGAAAAAGGTCATACGACTAGCACATGGAAGTATAATAAAGTTCATTGACTATTTTATCCTTATTTGTATCACATCCAATTCATTGACTTTTTTATTAAAAAAATAATAAATAAATAAATAAATAATAAAAAAAAACATTAACAACTCTCTTCTAAAGTTGTCATCAATGGGCACCACTAGTCTACTATCAAGATTCAACATATTTGGTTTAATTAAGAGTGCAGCTATTACCGTCTATCTAAATTCTTTAGACTCTTAATTTCTAATTTTTATGTTATTACAATTATATTATGAAGTAAAATTATATTAAAAGATATCATTTAATGGAACATCCACCTACCAAATAATAACTAACACTACAATATTGTACACCTACCTTCACCGCCACCCCCATCCCCACCTCTAACTATACGTATTCCATCTTTTTAAACCCTAAATCTGTTACTTTTCATAACCAACCAACATAAATCCTAAACATATTACTCTTCATAACCATCTTAAACCCTGATGGCGTTGGCATTCCATTGATAAGTTTATCTATCTTGCATTAACATTCTCGGTTGTTTTCAATCGTTGTTGTTTTGTTTGAGTTGTTCGGTATTGGTTTGCCAACTGTTCAGATTATGTTCAGTAACACAATACTGAACACAAACATTTAGTTCAATATATGGATTCTGAACAGTAATGTAGATAGTCAGTACTGTTGAACCAAACATGACCTTTATTTTCGACGCTGTTGTGCTGAACGGTTCGATTTGTGTATCTTTAACACCAGATTGTATTTTTTGTGAGGGTTTTTCCCCCTAAAACCCCATTTTATGCTAAAATAAACCAAAAAACAAAAATGTGATAGAAAGAAGAGAGGCAATGTTGTTGATAAGATGGGGAGTCGACGAGTTTTTCGACAGTATTCTTTTGATACCGTTTAATCGATTTCTCCTTTCGTTGAGAGTCGACAAGAATTTCAATGATAGAATGTCGATACAATGCTCTTCACTAAGGCAATGGTATTTACTGACGCAATGACTGTCAACATTTGTTTTTTAATAGGAGATGGACAGTCATCAAAATGAGGAGAGAGGGTGTGAAAAATTAGGTGGGTGTGCCATAGCTGTGATAATATTATGGATAGGGATAATTTTGGTATTAAGTAGAGTGTTCAAAGAAATCTTATTGAAATTTAAGGGTTAGGGTGGGGGCTCAAAGAAATGGGAGATCCAAAGAATTTAGACAGCTGCTAATAGCAGCCCTCTTAATTAAATACACTTTTGCTTTCACTAATTGCACCTTTAATGAATAAATGGTCTTTTAATGGTTCTATTAGTGAATGTACAATAAGTAATCAATAAAAACAAAACAAAAAATTGACAACAAAAACAGACACCACTTCATTGAGTTAAACTTGAGATCTCACCTCATTCGTATTTAGTGTCTCCGCTCATGAGACCACTTGGACTACTGCTTGGGTACAAAAAATAAATAAATAAAACTTCAAGTTTAACAATCAAATTGACAAAATGATTGTATTTAAGGGACAAAGTATAATTTGCCAAAAAAATGGAGGAAAAAAGATATTAAGCTATTGTAGGCCAAATGTGAGAGTAGGTAAAACATGAAGGCTGCATACACATCTAAAGCACTATTTTGATAAGCCTCTTGAAAGCACTTTTCATACATTTGAAAGAAATAGTCAATGCATACTATTGCTTCTAAAAATTTTTTTAAAAAAATGCTAATGAAGGCATTGCAGAAAAATATAATGAACCCACCAAGACACATCCTCATGCTGGCAGCGTCACGCAGAATCAAGATTGATTTGATAAAGATCATTGGTAGATGCAGAGGAAGATCCAATTTGTGTCATGACCATTGAATCAACAAGGCTCTGAGCCTCATTCGAACTCTGCAATTGCAGCTCATCGTACTTGTCTTTGAGGGATCTGAACCTGTATTCATCACCATAGATACTTGGATCCATGACTAAGTCCTGAATGTCAAGACGACCTTCAAGCATGCTTACTACTGCAGACATGGCAGGCCTAAGTGCCGGAGATGGATTAGTGCATAATAATGCTATCTTGATCATTTTTATTGCCTCTTCCTTGTCGAAATCAGGACCCAACTTTGGATCCACCAACTCCATTAAACGCCCTTTTTGTTGCAAAACAAGGGCCTGAAATAAGCACAAGAAAGATACTGATATGAAATAAGCCAGGCAAATAATGATCCTAGCAACCCCCCAACCACCAAATCAAAATAATAATAATAATAATAATAATCATAAACAAGTAAGAAAATAGAACATTTATGGAAGTAGACTTGGGTATAAACAACCACTAGTCATGCCCACCATGGACAAACAAGATTAAAAGTGACTCGGAAAAGCAATGCTTCATGTTGGGTGAAAATTTTAGATAAAAGGCATTCTCTTTTGATTTTGTCCTTGATGAGAAACCAAATTTTGACTGTTTTCAAGCTTTTTCACTCTAAATTTCCAGGGTTATTGGAATATCAGTTATCCTGAATATAAGTAATCCACTAACATTTCAATAAAAACTAAACATTCTAGACCAATCAAAATTTAAAGCCTTGCAAACAATAAATGGCAATTGGCTCAAATCCTCGTTGACAAAACCATTTCAGGTTAGTTCAACTTCCTGCTAAGTTTGTGTTAACTCAAGTCATAGCTGGCCAATTAAGCCAAACAGATAGGTCTGAAAGCAAGAAATGTCTTTAAAATATATTCAACCCTAAACCTTTGAGAACCAAGAACTTACCCAATCAAGCAGACAAACGTATTTATCACTAGGACGAAATTTCATATTGTCCTTTCCAGCAGCAATTTCCAATGCAACAACTCCAAAACTGTAAACATCTGCTTTGTTGCTTAAATAACCCCATAATGCATATTCTGGGGCCATGTACCCTCTGCACAACAAAAATAATTTTGTTTATTCCATTGTAACAATATATACTTTTTAGTACAGCTCCAACATTATCAGTAGTTTTAAGTGGTAAATGCTAACAATACACAACCTTATTTGGCAATTTGCAAGCATTCATGCAATTTTCAAGGTGATCAAAATATGATCAGAACTAGACATCTTAGTGATGAAAAGTTATTGAAATTACCACATAGCAATGCAATACTGTCACCACAATAAAGGACAAAGTAAAACCACTACCATGTTATAAGATGTGTTGTATGACCACCACAATGTAAAGACAAGCTATGAGACTTCAGCGATAGGGAGATGATGCCCAAACTCCTGACTCTTGTAGGATGTCTGGTTGGCAAACTTCTTAAGAATGAAGTCTTAGGACTTGGACATATAACGAGATACTATGGGTCGATTTAATCCTATTTGAGTAAGATCGAACACGTAGACTGTACACATGTCCCTTGAAGGCTAACACTAGTAGGTCTTCATGATGATGTGTGAGAAACACATGGCCAGTAATAAAGGAGAAACCTACATATTTCTAGACTGTTCTAAGGTGGCATCTTAGATATAATTACTTCTAAAAATGTGGGACAGTGTTTGTCTTATGAAGGAAAGAGAAATTTTGGTAGCTTACATAGTTCCGGCAACCCTGGTGCTAATGTGGGTGTTGTCATCTTCAGTAAGCTTAGCCAGACCAAAATCAGAGATCTTAGGGTTAAGATCCCCATCAAGTAGTACATTGGTAGCCTTGATGTCCCTATGAACAATTTTCAGTCTTGATTCCTCGAGGAATGCCAAACCTCTTGCTATGCCAATACAAATCCTTAGCCTGGTAGGCCAACCCAAATTCAATTGCCATTCCTTTGGACCTATAATTAACAGAAATAGCAAATCAAGGAGACAAAAAAGCAAGGAAAGGAAAAAACAGATCTAGATTATTAATGGTTGGTAATAGAAGTAATAATGTTTGCTTCTTTAATTTTTTTTTTTTTTTTTTTTATTAGAAATTCCTACTGTAGCCTATTTTTTTTTTTTTGACATTAGAAATTCGTACTGTAGCCTAATCTAAGGGGAAGGAGAGGGGAATGTTGGGGATTGAACACAACTGCATGAGCTACAGCATCAACACTGGTAAGCTCTGTTGCTCAATAATATTTTCTTGATAATCTTATTTAACTAACGAAATATACACAACCAACTGAAAACATTAAGTTACCAAATAGAGCTCGGGCAAGGCTATTATTTTCCATGTATTCATACACCAGTAGTAGTTGATTCCCTTCAATGCAACATCCATACAATCTTACAAGATTTGGATGCTGTAAACCAGAGATCATACCAATCTCATTAACAAATTCACGATTGCCTTGCTTTGATTTGGAAGAAAGTTGCTTAACTGCAATTACAGTACCATCTAATAATATACCCTGCATTGAAATAACAACTTATTTTTAGTCACACTTTAACATGGAATTGACATCTCCACTTGACATCATAGCATAAACAAAAAACAGAAAGTGAATATGACATAGTACAAAAAATACAATTAATTACAATATACCTTATAGACAGATCCAAAACCGCCTTCCCCAATTTTGTTGTTATCGTCAAAGTTGTTAGTGGCAGCTTTAATTTGTCTGAAGGTAAATAAACCAGTTTGCAAATCTAATCCTCTTAGTTCTGCAAAAGAACAAGTTCTTTTATTTTTTTTGACTACATCATCAAATTACTAACATTGTTTGGTTGCAGAAAAGTTGGAACAATGAAAAGAGAAGTTCAGTCTTTCAACACCTACAAACAATCCCAACTTGTTGTAAGGTTCCAAATTTTCATTTGTGGCTCTACAACTCCTCAGTACTAATTCGTGGCATGAGAGATGGTTAGCATTCTTAACTCAAACAATTACTTTCAACTATTAAAGGATGTCTATAAGGGACATTTAGATATAAGCAAGGGAATTTTGGTGATATTATTTATCAAACAAGCTCAAGACATTTAAAACAGGATTAATTTGACAATATTGACAGTCTTCATCTGATGCTCTCGATTGCTTCAGAAAAAAGAAGAAAAAGATATACAACTTTTATTACAAAAATTCATATTGTCGGTATTTTGGAGGCCTACTCAAGAGGATTAAAATGTTGACAAACAACCACAATTTCACCATCTGTCATATATTGTTCCTACATTCTGCAATACCTGGAATACATGTAAGTACATTGTTGGCATTTCAAAAATAAAAAATAAAACATGGAGTAGAAATTAGTGACCTTGTTCCCTTGAAGTAATGCTTTTTGAATGGCCTCTCCGCCAAAAGATAAATAGAATCGTGAACACAAGGCATAATGAAAAAGTTACAGCTCCAACTACAATGACTATCTTCTTTCTCTGATCAGAATGAGGCTTGAAATCTACATAGCAAAATCAGATAAAGCATGCATAAGGTTGCATCTATAATTGACAAATTTTGTCCAAAGCCTCACCAATATTTGAAATTCCTACCGTAAGAAATTATTCGACACTTAAAAAAAAATCAACTAGTAAGAGAAGAATCATGGCCATTATAAAGCTGAAAATTATGTTTCTTCCAAATTTATAACTTTCAGATCTCATCTCAAGAGTCGGGGAATGACTTTACCATGCCATTGATTCAATCATCTGCAAGTATAATATAGAATGTAACAGAAAGAATCTCAAACACAAGCATGAGGGGGATAGGATGATGTTTCACCATTGAGAAATAAACAAGGAAAGCCTAAACAGAACACAACTTACTGGATTCTATCGAAATAGCTGATATGAGAGGACCGTAAATTCCTCGAATTGGAACAGCTCTTGTCCCTTTCCCTGCCCAGTAAAAGCGAATCTCTATAGTCTTATTCTTAACAACTGTGTTGTTAAATTTTCGAACTACAGCCTTGTCAACCCCTTGTGCAACAGTTTCAATATCAAAATCCTTCAAAACCAGTTCATCCTGCAACAAACCAATTAACCAAATATGTTTCCATTTGCATAATAAAAGGTGCAATTACAGTGATATTAACTACCTGGATATAAACATTGAATATTCGTCTGCCAAGACTCTGATAGGATCGATTGTCTCTGAAAACTATCTCAGCAAAATGAAGGGTCACTGTGTAGTTCCCATTTGCTAAGCAACGCCCATAGTAAGTAAGAGACAGAGGAGAGAGGCGAGCACTTGAGTACAATTGAGACTCATTCATTGTAAGAACAGAAACATTTTTGGTTATATAGTACCCTGCAGTTGCATTGACATCCCAGAAATGTCCAGTGCTACTAAATCCCCAATTTCCTGCTGCTTGCCATGTCGCTGCACCTCCCTGGGATTCATCTGCTATATATATAGTGTTTCCAACTTTCGTTTGTCCTCCACCACAATTTATATACAAAAAATACCCATCTTCTGAAAGAAATCCATCATGTGTGATCATATGAAAGGGAAAAAAAGGATAAAGCTATATTTCATATTTAAATGAGTGTGTGTGTATCAATTGGAGCTAGCCCAATTGGTCAGGTTCCTTGCACATCAGTAGGAGGTCATGTTTCAAGTCTTGTCAGAGACAAGGCTCCCCTTCCCCCCTAGGCTACAGCCTCCAGTGTACTAATAAAAATTGAGTGTGTGTGTGTGTGTGTGTGTGTTTTCCCTTGACAACGTGGAGGATCTACCAAATGTAGTCGTCACCTATGTTACATCGATTTTTTAAAATAAATTAAATACGCATGTCGGACATTCAACTCTTGGATAAGGGTGTGAAATATGTGTCTGATACTTTATTAACACTATCAGTATATATAAATGAGTAAAATACCTTTTCGACATTGTACATTATATATAACACTATTTTATCTCACATAACAGATTAAAAATATAAAAATATGACCCTTTTTGCTGAGTCTGCATATCCTTAATTTGAGGTTTGATAGGTCTGACCTCTACATATGTACTCGCACCCAATACTATATTGTATCCATGTAATATAGGTCGCCGTGAAGTTTCATATCAACAAGGGAGAATTGAAGAAATAAATATAAAACTGAACTATAACCTTGAGTTTTGATTATGAGAAATATATACTCACGTTTTGAACAAGGAGAGACCCCCAGGCACTTGTTAATTTCCCTGAATTAATAGCGTGAAGAAAAGAAAAAAAAAAGGTATAAAAGAGTGAGAGCAAAGGAGGGGAGGAGGAGGATAATGAAGGGATCACCAGCATGATACGATTGAACTGAAATGCGAACTGTAACTTTTCAAATGTGAGTTAGAAGCTTACAAGTTTCCACCGGAGAAGCTTCTGAACAAGTTACTGATTTGATAAAAATAAAAAATAAAACTTAAGGGAAAGGAAAGGAAGAAAACAAAAGAACAAGTGAAAAAACAAAAAAGAAATGCTTGCAAATTCAAGGAAGCCCTACGATAGAGAGCGAAATCTTACAGGGTTTCTTTACAAGGCACATCTTCCACAAAAAAGTTGTTGTACGAAAGATCTGTTAGGCTGCATAAAATGATTTCATTTGAATAATTCATGATAACTCCACAAAATAAAAATAAAAAAAATACAAAGGATTCATAGATCCCACTCATTGTATATTGAGATATGACCCGCAAGGAACAAAATTTCTATTTGTTTCCATCGAAACAGCTGAAACATTTCCATTTCCAAAAAGACCGAAACAAAACATTAGTGGAATAATGAAATTCTTGTGTTTCCATCAACATGCAAGCAAAACACACTAAATCACAGTACAATATACCAAAACAGTGAGTTTTGTTGACATAAATTTAGAATTTTTCATAATTTTTCTTATAATTCTATTAGAATAAATATAAAAGGTTATATTTTACTGTATTAATAAATATTATTGCTAGCAATTTAGTAATACTAATATTACTACAATCTAAGTACATTTTTAGACCTTATTTTGTTGGGATGGTACACACTTTTAGAATTATATACACTTGTGTTTGATAAAATTAAGTTACTTTTATTTTTATTTTTTTGAATTTACACTCGTTCTTTTATGTGAATGACCATATACATATCACTATGTTTACTAGGCTTTTATATATTTAAATAGATTTCAATTTATGTTTCCAAGCATTTCTATGTATTTTCAAACTTTTTTTTCTCTTTTGAAACCTATGTTACGTAGAACGTGGATTGTTCCAGTACATGGAACGGGAACGGGAACGAGATCGGGAACAAGGTACGCCACATGTTCTAAAATGTAGTATAATAGAAGTAGACTTATATATATTCCATTTCAGAATTTAAGGTGCTTTTAGAGTAATTTTCTTTTAACTATTAGTGTTAAAATTTACCTACACCTTACCTACACCTACCACCACCTACTACCACACCTACTACATCTACCACCAATTTACCCTCACCTACTCCTCACCTACTACCCAAATCCTCTTCTATATAATAGGAATCCTTGTAATATCAATATCACAACACAACAAGCATACATTAATCAATAATACAATCAATATCTATACAATTCTCTATTTCTCTTTATACATTAAATTTTCAATTAGGTATTTAATAAAAAAAAATTTCATGTAGCAAATCATTTCTACAAAAATTATGACCCTTTTTTATTTTTTGTCTTGTCAAAACTTAACTTACCTTATATTTTAGTTCATACATTTGATTTTTTTTTCTCTTAAGGTAACATTTCATGAAATATATTGGGGAAAAAATTTGGAATCACTTCGAATCACTAAATTTACCCTTTTTGGAACGTATGTACCAATAGGTAATTCACTAATGTATTAGCATTTTTTGGTAACATAGTTTGAACGTTGTTGAAAGGTTCCAATAACATTTCCAAAACATTCCAGTTTATAGACTTTGAATATTTCCCAACCACAGCTGCTATATGGCTATTTTACCAAAGAGCCTCAAGGAGCACACAGTTGCAGCTGGAATCAAGTCAATAGTTTCACCAGCAGTGAATGACATGAATAAAATGTGCAACGACCTCCAAAGATGTCATGAGATGATATACTTTTAAAAGAGGAATTCATGTGTATGTCTGCTCAGGCATATGCATGTATTTAACTATTATCTAATTATTAAGATGAAAATTATTAGCAGCATAATAAAATATTAAAATAGAATTGAAGGTGAATAACATACTATCTATTATCTCTGTTCTTGATCCAGTCTGGAATACTCCCATTAAGCAAATTCCTTGTCAGATACCTAACCAATAAGCAATGTCATCTCACCATAGTTATGCAGTTACTTAGATTGCTACTTTTTGACAAATTTAATGCATAATTAAAAGGTAAAAGACACATGAGAAAAAGAAGAATATGTAACTCCACTCAGCATCTGATTTTCTCAAAAGTAGAAGTATAGAGTTAAGGAGTGATGTGTCATATACATATAAGTGGAACAATGGAAGGATGGGGTGAAGACCTCCATGCTCTTGGAACATGAAGCCATGAACTTGAGAGGTACTCACCATTTAATATTGCTTCAATCCGCAAAATTCACTACAACAATTTACACTTTTGGCGACCAAATTTGGCAACTAAAAGGAATTTAGTCACCAAAAGTCGTACAATAGGTGACTAAAAATTACATTGGTCGGCATTTTTTGCAAGGTTTAGCTACTAATTTTTTTTAGTAGGTGTATATTAATTATTGGTGACTAAACAAAAATTTAGTTGTTAAATATGCCACAATAGGCAACTAACAAAAATATTGGTTGCTGTTAGTTTAGATTTTAGGTTACTAAAGTTTGTTTTAATTGTGGTATACTAATTTTTGCCGACTAAAACAAATTTAGTAGCCAAATAACTAGCGTAATTTTACTTTAAATCTTTAGCGACTACCTAATTTGGTCGGTAAATATACATTTTCAGTGACCAAAAAAAATTTAGTCATGGTGTACTAATTTTTTCCGACTAAATAAATTTAGTAGCCAAATAACTAGCATAATTTTACTCTAAATCTTTGGCGAATACCAAATTTAGTAGGCAAATATGCATCTTCAGTGACTAAAAAATATTTATTCGTTATATATTTATTTTTGCTGACTAAAGAAATTTAGTTGCCAAAAAACTAACATAAATATTGCTTTTAATATTTGGCAGCCAAAAAACTAACATAAATATTGCTTTTAATATTCGGCAGCCAAAAAATTAGTCACTAAATATATATTTTCAGCGACTAAAAATATTAAGTCGGCAAAGGTGTCAAATTTTTTGGTGTATTTTCAAATTTTCCGCCCAATTCACTAATTATGTTTTATTTCTCTATATCAGTGTCTACATTCACCCAAACAAAAACCTTCAGTCACTTGCTCTCCCTCTTCTCACAGACTCACCATCCCTGCTAATAGTCACTGTCGAACTTCCACCGCCGCTGACCATTGTGACTCTTGCCACCGTCACTCACCATCGTGGCTCCCCCCTCTCATCCAGATTCAGGTTTTTCTTTCTCTCTTTCTCTCTCTCCCTTCCCTTACCATCGCGGATCTAGGGTTTTATTTTATTTTTTGATGTTGTAGGATTTTTATAAAATCATTTTAGGGTTTTACTCTTTTTCTACATTTGAAGCATATATGAGCTCCAAGTTATATTTAATTCCACACTTTTGTTGCTCTATTTAAGCAACAAAAGAGAAGGGAAAAAGTGGTTAATTGGATCATTGTGTACATTTGATGAGAGAGAAGAGCAATGGGAACCGTAACTCAAGAAACAATCGATCAGTTCAAAGCATTGATGGACCAAGTTCTTCAGTTGAACATTGAGAACTGGGTTAATGAGTTCACAGTAGAGTAGTGAAGAATCTCTGCACACCCTTGAGGAGTAAGAGAGATTCTTCATAGCAGTACCCACTTAAAAACTCTCAAGTCTTTAACTATGGAAATCAACGTTTGAGAGGTGCTCTGCAATATTCATTCCAAGCCACCTCAATATCATTTTTAACAGAGTACAGGTGACATAGTGAGCTTCATAGACAGCTAGAGTTAAAACATAAAACATGTTTCATATAGATTTCCTTTGTGAAGTGTACCACTAATTTGCCATTGCTCCAATGAGCAGTTGTGATGGAGCTCATTCTAGGAAGATTCAATAAAAGACAGGCCCTTATTCAAGAGAAGGTTGATGAAGGGGCTGAATATGAAATGAGTCTGATGCCTTGGGCCGGCCCAATCTACCAAAGCCCAAATCGAAGTGGTCAAGTAAACATGCGGATAAGCCAATCAAGCCCAATTCCATTATCAACAATGCGCCCAAAGTCCTCAAGCACTTGGACCCCGCAGTGGAAATGTCAGTCCAGCCATGATGCTGGGCTGGGCCGAGCTACAGGACCTGATCCTTGCACCGAACCGAAATGGGCCAAGCCCATACAAAGATATTCTACTGGGCCAGCCCACCTCTACAAGCAATCTCACAGAGTGCCGAGCCGAGGCACAACGGTACCGAGCCGAGGGAACCTCTCAGAGAAGCGTGGAAGCTGTGAGTGTATGCATGTGCAAGCTGCCACCTCAGCTGGTCCCCTTCATCTAGAATTACGGAAATGGTTAATCAAGGGAATGTGGTTTGTTATCAGCATAACTACAATGAGTATATACACCCCTTGTCAACTACTAGATAGTCCCAACCTTGAGCAATTCTAAAGGGAACCTGGCAGCACCAAAGCTCTATGAAACCTTCTTAGGTAACAAAGAGTTCTATATAAACTACACTCACTTCACATTGAAGGTAACTAAGTTGAGCTGAACCACACTCACTTAAACACAACTCTCTACACTTAGAGAGCACTTTCCATCTTCTCCGATCACTTACTCCCACACCGGAGGGATTATCTAGCCAATTCCGACCAGGCAGCTCTAACGGTGCTCATTGTTGCAGGGTCTCAGTTTCTGGATAGTCCAATCAGGTGCAGAGCTCCGATCCACAATCATCTAGTGCGGTATTCGATATGCACAATTGGTGCGGTGAGCGTGGAACGCTTCATCTCTGAGTTCTGCACTTGATTCCGACGATAGGAATTGAGGATATTCCACCATCGGCATTGACACCACAAACAGAGAAGACGAAGAATAAAGGTTTGGCACTCCGAATAGTTCTGGAGGAGCAGGCCGGAAACAACAACCGACCCGAATCTGTTAAGCATCGACAGCCTTTTGCTAGAGGTTCTTCCCACCATTTTCTATTAGAGAAGGATTACAGAGATCGAATCATCGATTCCATGGGAATGGAGATACAGGAACTAAAAGCACAACTCAAAAGGGTGATGGGCGACCTGACAGAGAAGAGGACCGACGCAAATCCCTCTCCTCTGCGCTAGAGGAGCCCATCCCGTGAACCACCAGTGAAGAAGGGCCCCAGAAACAAATCTAGGCAGCAAAGGCAGCCAATCCCGGTGCAAAGTGAAGCAGCAAGCAGCCACACCCGTGGTTCACACTGGAGAAGGGCCAAGAGGCAAAAAACAGACAGCAGACAGAGTATCCTCCTCAGGATCTCCGTACTTGGTTGATCGGCAACAGACAAAATGAGCAACGACGAGATCATCAGGCTCAACGCCTTGACCGTACTGTCCATCAGAGAGAGCACCGAGCATTGGATCGGCTTGTCTCCTCTCCTTTCTCCCCAGAAATCGAAGCTATGAGACCCCCCAAGAAATTCACTCCACCAAAGTTCACGACATACTATGGCAAATCAGACCCACTAACACATATCAGCCATTATTGGCAGATAATGTCCTTATGGAGCCGAGACGAGGCACTGATGTGCAAAGTCTTTCCATCCAGCTTGGGAGAATCCGGACTTCGATAGTTCGATCGTCTCCCTGCCGGATCGATTTACGACTAGAAGCAACTCTCTGAAGAGTTCTTGGCCAGATTCATCTCCAACACTAAGATCCCAAAAGAGCCAGACACCTTGTTTGGTCTCCGAAAGGAACAGGAGGAAACGCTACGCAATTATGCTAGAAGGTATTGGGAAGAATATAACGATCTGGAGGAAAACGTTTGCAGTGAACAGATGGTTGTAATGTCTTTTAAACACGGTCTGCGTCCGGAAAACAAGCTGAGACAATCACTTACCAAGTGCCCCAGCCACAGCACTGAAGGATTTGCGTGCCAAGATTGAACAGTACCCTCACCTCGAAGACGATCAGATCCCCATCGAGGTAGCATCAACTGAACAAACAGCTCGGAACAAAAGAATAGCAAACCGATGGGAACACCGAGGACTCGCAATGAATGAAGTAGACAAGTCTAAATCCCATGAAGCAGTTGTAACTGTATTCAAGGAACCAATCTATCGTATTATGGAAAAAATCAAGAGAGAGTCTTGGCCACCAAAAATGCTGGAAGATCCAGCTCAGCGCAACCAAAAGCTTAGACGCACCTATCACCAAAACCGGGGGCATATGACCCAGAATTGCAGAGCATTTAAGCAACACCTGGAAGATTTGGTAGCTGCTGTGCACCTCCAAGACTACATTGATCAGGACAAAATAGTAGCCGAACAAGGGAACCCCCTACCAGAACCGAACATCGAGCATCCACCTCGGTTGATAATAAATGTAATTTATGGTACAACCAGTCACGACCGCGAAGAGGCACTTCAAGAAGAAATTGCAAAAGCTGTACAAATTCAGCAAGTCATGTCAGTAGGGCCAGAGCCGAAAAAGGTACAGACAATACCTAAGCCTCCCTCATGCACTATTTCATTTACCAGGAAGGATTTATAAGGTATTCAGTACCCACATACTGATGCATTGATTATAACTGTGGGAATTGAGAAACGATTTGACGTGAAACAAGTCCTGGTAGATCAAGGTAGTGCAATAGATATATTGTATTACGACTTGTTTAGGAAGTTCTATCTCTCTAAGCAGCACCTCACCCCAGCAGCAACTCCGTTGGTCGGTTTTAATTCACAGCCTGAATGGCCACTTGGCAAGATAGTGTTGTTAGTTGTGGCTGGGACAAAGACCCTTCAAATAAAATTCCTGGTTATTAACACACCATCTCCTTACAATGCCATACTCGGTCATCCTTGGATTCATCAATTGGAAGCAGTCCCCTCAACTTACCACCAGCTTATCCGCTTCCCGACGGAACACGGAGTAGAGCAGATCTCAGGGGACCAAGGTGCATCAAAGCATTGTTTCAGGCAGCCATGAAGGCTAAACAACTTTGTAATCGGGTTCAGACAATTGAAGTAACCGAACAG